TCCATCTACGAATTCACACAGCTCAAATGGATTACTCGCTGGAATTGTTCAGCAAGTTGTTGTACATAAAGAATAAATCAGAGAGGTAAGGAATCTGCAAAGGCAAGTCATAAACTGAGAGGCAGGATTGATTAGTGGTCGTATTTTTCACTTAGTTTTTCAGTCTACTGTGTTGGAGCTGAGCTGTTGGTTGGCAGCTATGAGGGAAAAGGAAGAGACCTGTTGAATTAGCACCAAAATAGCAGCATGTGAACCTCAAAAGATTAATACAATCGGAAACAAGCAGAGATGGACTGAGGCCCAGTCTCCACTAAGGGAGAAAGTCAATCTAAGATATGCTAGCTACATGAATAGTTTAGCTGGTGACAACGTACCTTAGGTCAAGTTTCTGTGGCATCCCCACTGCAGTAGGTCAATGGGAGAAAGTCTCCCATTCACTTCGCTTACTCCTCGGGACCTGGTGGATTACCAAAATTGATAATGGCATCAGCCATCAATTTAGCAGGTCCTTACTAGACCTGCTAAATCAACCCCTGGGAAATTGATCTCCATTGCATCAATCACCCGGTAAATGAAGACAAAGGCTTTCACGGCTTAGCCAAGTCTACCATACCAGTAAAACTGCTCTTTTGCCAGCAACACAGTACACTAAAATAACTCTTCTGGCAAAGTGTTCTGAATGTAGACCTGGCCCTAATCAGAATTGAGTGGATTTGTGTTTTTAGTATGTCCTTTGCACACTTCGCAGTTGTAGCTAAATGCCAAAAGAATCAACAGCATGTCAGGAAGATTAGAAAGGCAGATACGCCATTTGCCTAATGGAGTTTTTAAACATAGTCCATGAGATGGAAAGACTACACAAAATCCCAGAACAAGATTCTCTCTTCCCTCAGATTCAGAAGTTTACATGCACATAATTACAGAAACAGCACCAGCAGAATTACAGGCAAAGCAATAGTGTTAATTCTTGGTAAAGTCGTTTGCCTTTGCTCGTGAGAGGGAAAATTAGAAAGGACGAGATCTCTTCCCAACTCAGCTTTGTGCAGATACTGTCTCAGTATGCTGCTTCCCATATTTCACCAGAGAGCAAGAGATGGTTTAAAGACTCATTCAGTATAGTAGAAACACCTCCAAACAATGCATTCAGAACTTCAGTTTACTTTTTCCAATGCAATGTTCTTGTTCCTTTTAAGCCCAGAAGTACAGCACACAGGGCAGTGTGTTTCTTTCAGAGAAGTTTTCGAGAGCCTTTTGTTTTCTTCTTCAAAAGGTTTCCGGCTTGCAAGAAAACCTGAAAATACCATGCTGCTGCTGCTGCTCAAGTCCCAAATTAGAGTGTGGGTTACTAAAAATTAAATGTTCAAGCACAAAAACACTTAAAAAAAATTGTCCAAAAAGAATCAGGCATTTACCACGGAAGTTTACTTTTTTGTTGTTGTTGTTGTCAAAAACACCACAAATACACACAAACATTTTTAGCTTTAAAAAGTCATTAAAAATGTTAAACACTTCTAGCCCAATGGCCTCTGCTTACAACTGCAAACCCACACACATATCAGAGTAGGGTTGCCAGGTGTCCGTCCGGTAGTTGCGCTCTTTGTCCGGTTAAAAAAAAAAAGTCAGAGAATACCAGACATGTGCAATGTCCGGTATTCTGATTTTTCCGGCTGCGCACCGGACGGAAGCCTGGCGTGGGCAGGCGTGCGGCTGGAAGGCGAGGCCACGATCGGCGCTAGGATCCTGTGATTGCGCAGGAGTCCCAGCAGGGTGGCGGGGCTGGGCCGGTAGTTGCGCTCTTTGTCCGGTTAAAAAAAAAAAGTCAGAGAATACCAGACATGTGCAATGTCCGGTATTCTGATTTTTCCGGCTGCGCACCGGACGGAAGCCTGGCGTGGGCAGGCGTGCGGCTGGAAGGCGAGGCCACGATCGGCGCTAGGATCCTGTGATTGCGCAGGAGTCCCAGCAGGGTGGCGGGGCTGGGGGGCGGGGGAGCGCCCCCCAGCCACTCTCCCTCCTGCCCCGGCTAGGCTTCTGAAGCACCCAGAGCAGCGATCGCAGACCTGCCTGCCAGCTGGGGACTCCCAGGCTGGGAGCCTGTGATTGTGCAGAAGCCTGGTAGGGGTGGGGAGGCAGGGAGGAGAAAGTGGTTGGGAGTCCGCTCCCGCCAGGCGTCTGTGCAATCACAAGCTCCCAACGCCGATCGTGGCCCCACCTCCCAGCCTGTGAGTCCCAGCCTGTGAGTCCCAGCTGGGAGGTAGGGTTGTGATCACTGCTTATCCTGCATTTCTCCCCCCCCTTTTTTTTGCGTGACCAAAAAAATACCAGGGGTCCAGTATTTTTTGGGAGACCATCTGGCAACCCTAGAGACAGGTAACACAGAGATCAGCCATCAGAACCACAGTGGTCAATGCCTGTGGAATGATGCATTGCTATCAAACTAACGACTAGCTGAAACTCCCAATAAGAAAGGTTAGGGGCCTCACAAACCTTGGAACAGCAGCTGCAACTACAAAATACAGCCAAAAATATATACACTGGTGCCTAACGCTAGCTCTCAGGAGAAAAAGAGATCATAAGTGGGCAGGCACAGAGCTCTGCAATGTAAGCAGGTTTTCATTTATTTCAAGCGTTTGAAAAACAAAATATCGGTCTGGTCAAAAGCATCTGAACTACAGGAACACTGAGCTAATCAGATGTAGAAGAAAATTGTAGGATGCGCGAGAACCATTTGCTCCCAAAGAGGCATTGGAAAAACCGTGTAGTATACAGTACACCACAAATGCCATGTGTTGCAGAAGAGCAACCTGAAAATTCAGCTACATTAGGGAAGGAAGACTCATGGGAAGTATTTCATCTGTTGGTAGCCAGAGACCGCACAGAGGCAGAAGTCAAGTTAGGTTTCCAAATGTGTTTGGAAATAGAACTAGGTTTTTAGAAGATGAGAATCAGGTTGTTCCTCATTCCTGAAAGAGGGGCCTAAACCTACAAGTCCTTCACATCTGAGCTTTGCATATTTGTTAAATTAGAACATAACCCAAGGCCCTTTTCCAGGCCTACTGGTGGAAGCGATGAAAACAGCCATTGATAAAGGTGCTGCTGTCATTGATTGGCTAGGTGAGTACAAACATAGCTAGGTTTGAGATAGTGGAGGCTAAGTTAGTTTGCATTGGACTGCACTTCAAATGTCAGGGGTTGCATGACAACACTGACACTATTCACCCGCGCATACACAGTCCTCCACCTTCCCACACACATACAGAGCCACCTCCCAGCATGAGTAGTTTGGATTCATTATGGACACCAAACTGTGGATCCACAGAATGACAGGCACTGCCTCGGTTTCTCTAGGAAAAAAAAAATTCAAAGTTTGCCACCTTTTGTAAATGCTGCCTCTTTCTTGGCTTGCTTTGCAAGTTATTTCCTTCTCATATCGGCAGTGAGAGTTTTAGATTACTTGAAATGGAAAGCAGAGATGAGTTACAGTGCACCAGTATGCCTTGTAAGCTGTGCACTTGTGTGATCAAGCAGGAGACACTCAAAGGCCACCCAGCTGATAAGAAGCGTGCCCACAGCTACATTTTGTGTTTCTTGCTGGTGCACATGCCTCAGTGCACATAAAAATCATTCTGCACTTGGATGGAAAAGATTAGAGGGAATACTGGTGTGCACTTCTGCTAGTGAAAAATCCATAGCAGATTCATTTACCTGGAGTGGGGATGGAGGGGAGAGGTTGGAATCTCCAACCCCAGAGGTTGTTGAGTCCATTCTTGACAAATCCCAGGCTGGGATGATTTAGTTGGGGTTGGTCCTGCTTTGGGCAAAGGGTTGGACTTGACTTCCTGAGGTCTCTTCCAGCCCTCTGATTCTATGACAATCTTTTTCTACCCCTTTCAGGAGAGCAGGTCAGAGGTATTTTAAAAAGGGAGCTGTCATTTCAGTCTAGCCATGGCCACAAAAATAGTCTGTGTCCTCTCTTCAACTCAAAATATACCAGCAATTCACATTAGGAGAGAACTGTTGTTAAAAGAGCCATCCTACAGTGGGATAGGCAGGACAAGCACATGGCCACATCTTGTATGGCTCACCTCACACACAGAAGGGCACCAAATGCAGCTGCTGTCTACTTGCAGGAGAGTGCCAGGATAAAACGGTCACAGACCATAAATTATGGAGGGGTTCAAGACACAAATTAAAATTCCTGGAGTGAGGATTTTGATGTGCCCCTTGCAAGAAAGGAGAGGAGGAAATCTCTCTACGCAGCACTCAGAAATACAATCTTGCCTTTATAATAGTGGTAGTTTACTATGAAAGTTTACAAATCTAAATGTAAAACAATGCATCAAATCCCATTTCACCTAACTCTCAGGAAGACGGGAGGATTGATACAGCATAGAAGTAATCACACTAGGACCCTAATGGTGTTTCACAACTGTGCACAAGGAAGAACTAGAACCTGCAACCGTGATCACCATCTAAAAGTCGAGTGCACACAGCAGCCAAACTTCTGAGGAAACCTTGTTTCTAAAGGAGGCCTTGGCCCCTGTAACTGGAGTGATTTCTCCACCTGTGTTCATATGGAGGTGACTAAGAGCTGCTGTTTTCAGCTTCATTTCCATCCTCGTTAAGTCCATCCTTTGTCTTTCAGGGATGTACATACACCCCAAGCTGAACAAACGCTGGACAAGGCAGACGCCTAAATAAAAGCCAGACACAGCCAGCTCCATTGTTGGCAGCCTCAACGCAGAGCACAGAACTGAAGGGCTATGGAGCTAAAGGCTATCCTCTCCCCCCTAGGACTGGTCCCTCCAAATCAGGGTTCAGGCACGTTGGTTGGGATATGGTGGGGATGCTTGCACTCCTGCTACCTAGGTTGCACCTGTTGTATGAACAGAAAGAGGACTGTTAAAGTGCCCTCCCCCACCACCACCACCACCTTACAAGCACTAAAACCATCTTAACATTCCTCTCCACCGAGGTTTGGTATTTGGAGTTGTACTCACTTCCAGACGACTTCCAGCTGGAGCTTGATGGTGCCTAGCTCAGTTATATCCACAATGATCGCCTGAGGTCTGGTGGTAAAGAAGTTGATGCCATCACACGTTACCACGCCAACGAGAATAGTAGTCAGTCCCCGCAGCTCTGTGACCTACAGAGGCACAAACCCGTTTTGCTAGATACCTGACACACGTCCTGTAGCTCCCCTTTGCTGGAGACCGCGAATTGGAGCCAATGGGAACGGCGAGACTCCGTAGCTACGGACCCGTTAGGTAAACAAAGGGCGCGTGGGCTCATGGCCCACTTTGCGAGACACGGCCTTAGGCAAACTTTTTCAAGGCTGACTGTGCCTATGCTTAGGCCTCTAAATAATAACGGGATGATTTTCCACAGATGCTGAGCCATGTGCAGCTCCCATTCGCACCAGTGAGGACTAGGAACATTCAACACTTCTGAAAGAAAGAGTCATTCCATTTAAGAGCCTAAACGTAGGCATCCAGAAAATTCTAATATTCACATATACACAAATAATTGTAACAGACAAACAAGCTGGAAGCCTGGGACCCATTTTTCTGCAAGGTATAAATTACAGCAAGCCTCACCCATTCCTGGGTTTGATCCAAAAAAATCATCTCTAGAGTAGAGCTCTGTTAGATTATCTAATCCATCTCCCCACCAGTGCAAGGCGATTCCCGTATCCAACAGAACCTGGCCACACAGCCCTTGTCTACCACTCCCTCCTGGGCTGAGCTGATCTCAGCCACAGCTCAGAATCAAAGCCTACAGGTATTCGGTTTCTCTCCTCTCATACCTTCACAAATAGCACACCATTAATCTGTCAGTAGCTCATCTTAGCTGCAGCCATTTACACTTGCTTTGCAGCCTAGCACACACCTTCTTTGACCACAACAGGGCCCAGCAATGCCTGAGAAACAACTTTCTAGCTCTCCCCTGTCTGCAGTCCTGGAAAATGGGGCTGGAAAACTCCAAACCAAGATGCTGCTGTACAAAGGCATATTCTTTCTTTGTGAATCAAGGTGTCTGCCCTAGTCAGGCTCATGGAAAAGATTTAGCAGGTAAAGTTTTCAGAAGCACTTAAATCTCATTTGAGAGTTAATGGTAGTTCGGAGCCTAAGTCACTTTTGGAAGTGGGACTCCAGCATTTTTGAAAATTTGACCCAATACATACTTGTGTGGAGAGGGAAAGCAGAGAAACTAGAGTCAGTTGGGTTTAATAAACTGGCACGCAACCTAAATCATGTAACCTCTCTCTCGAACTTTGAGGTGAGTCATCTTCACTGGCATACAGAACAATTCTTATTTTTTGCAAATATTATGAAAAACCATGCAGCTCAATTAGCTTCTCTCTTAATTCTCATTGTGCAGTGGGGGAAAAACATTTCTAAAAGCTCTACTGGCTAGAAGTCAGGAATTCTTTCCTATACAACTCTCATGCTGCCAAAAGGGTGGGGGTGTTGCAATATCTATTTTGTGTGGCTTTCAAACCCTGAAAGCCCTGCGTTGGCACTACAGAAAGATGTGTTTCGCTCAGGTAATGAAGGGTGCAGCCAAACCCTACAGCCTATTTTAGTCTCAGCTCCCACCTAAGTTGACCTAAGTTTAACTGCAGGGTCAGGCTCTCAGAGAATTCCAGAGCACAGCATGAGTTTGTTCCTGAGCAGCAGCTCCCAAGTTGGGATGTAATGTGAAACAGGGGGAAGCAGCACTAGTAATAGTAACAGGAAGATCCTTTCCCCAACTTCTATGTAAGTGAAAGAATAAAAGCTTCATCTACCATGCATCGATATTGTATAGCATAGAGACAAGGTCTTGGACTCTGTTACAAGAATACAGGGTTCTCCAATAAGCCACTCTAATACCAAGTGGACACATCCTTCCAAAGATACTGAATAAATTATGGCCAACTCATGTGGGCAGATGGCTTTCATTAACTCCAATAGGATGTGTGGATTTATAGCCTCTCTAGGGCAGAAGAAAAAAGGGGCTGAGAGAGAAGAGGGGAGGGGGAAGTCTGCCTTATTCACACAGAGAGAGTGTTGATACATACATTTACAAACTTTTTTGAACGGAGCAAGAATACTGAGTATTTAATCCCAAAATCTCATGTGCAATATAATTACTCCCTCCATGCAAGGGACCCCACATCACCACCAAGTCTTGGATGCCGATCTTAAAAACAAGGGGTCATTCTAATATATGGAAAAAGCAGAAGCATTAGCTCAGTTGCCATTACAAGAGTCCTGGGAAACAAGGTAGAAGCAGAGATCAGAGGCTAACTCAGTCAGCAGAACATCGATTAATTGCTGTTTTGGTGGGGTGGTGAACATTCGTGTTGTTTTTTTAAAAGCATCCTAGGCAGAGAACTGGATAGGAAGGCAGGCTACCTGCTAACCAATCCAACCACTGCAGACAACTACCTTTATTTCAAACTTCTCATTGAGGTTGGGTATAAAAACTTTCTCTTCCTCATCCCACGTTTGGCTGTCATCCGTTTCAATCTTGCCCTTCAGCTTCCATTTCTGGCGCCCTAGTCGTACAGACACCTAGCAGCCACACAGGGAAGAGGGTGTGAGAATCAGCACAAACCAAGACAGCGTATGGAACGACATCCTCCCTCCCTCCACATATGGTCCTTTGATTGCTATGCCTTTTATGAAGCAGGGGTGATGCAAAAGGAGGGCTGGTAATTTGAAATGCCTTGTTAAAAATGAAATGCAGCCAAGTAGCTTTGTGCCCCACCTGTCCTGGAAGAACTTGGGTGGTTACATCAGATACCAAAGCATATGTGCTGTTGTAATGCACAGAGAAAGTTATTAATGTGCAATGTTCAGCATCAGAGCAGGACAGGTTTGAAACTGACTTGCAGTTGTGACACTGGCATAAAGTAAAGGGTATTAGGATTGAAACCCCTGGGATGGATTCAGTCTGTAGCTCTAGGCTTTGTGGGCACAGCTACGCAGTTCTGTGCCTTCCAGGGCAGTTGTGCCTAATTGGGATCAACCCTAGAGATAGGCAGCAGTATTGCTGCTTCTCTCTTTCACAGAGTTTTTAGACGACTCTGGTCAGGTCCCCAGAGAAGCTCTTCTGGAAGAGTTACATCTCCCAGGTTACGGTACATGGACCTTGCCCTCTATCAAGGTACTAGGCCAATGCCTTTAGCATCACGTAGAGGCAGGAGTAACTCAGGAGTTGGACAGAAGCACTGCTTTCACCAGTACAGGTTTGGTTTTCCTGCATTCCCACGTTTGCACAGCCTGCACACCCCCATTCCCCACCTGAACATTGCAGGTGCAAGCCCATGATTGTAAGTTACAAAAGAAAATGGATTGCCGCATACTGCACCTCATATTGGTCCCCTGGGCAGAGACGTGCGTAGCCCACCAACCCTGAAAAGAGAAGGAAAACCCCTTCCAATGTTTGTAACCTGAGAGAGTTTCACAACATCTACTAACAAACCTTAGCTTGCATTAAGCACCCAGGTGACACTGATTAACATCCCCTTACAGCAAGGCTACTCAACATGTGGCCCGAGCCCACACCCCGTTTGTTTGTGGCTCACGGTGAAGTTTGGGTTTACGCAGGGCTCAACATGTGGCCCACGGGTGGGAACCAAAACAAACAAACAAAAATAGTCAATATAGTGATCTTATATTGATATGCAGTTTAGTAGTTAAATTCCTGGACTGTCATTGTTCATTAAAAATGCTGGCATATGGGTGGAAATCGTGGAAATTGCAGAACTGACTTAAATAGGACCTGTGTGTTGTGTAGTCTTGCCTTAATCTTTGTATTCATGCCCATCAATGAGAAAGAAGCTATTTGCATATATATACACACAACCACACTTAAGTTGCGGCCCTCGGCATATGCTTTGAGTATCATTATAGCCCCCGGAGTTCCAAAGTTGAGTAGCCCTGCCTTACAGCCAAATCCACATGGAGGAGCTGTTCACAAGTCAAGCCATTTGTCTCACTTAAAATCACCAGCTTTGCATAGGGGCGGGGAAAAGCCCTCTTCCAACACTCACATATAAAATAACACTGCAGAGCAGGGACAATGGGAACAAACCCAGGCTCATTAAGAGTCAGTTTAGGTTCCTGACCCAAAGCCCAGTTTTCCCCACCGACTTCAGTGAGCTTTGGACCAATCCCTACAGCAAACCTAAAGAGCATTTGGCTCAAGTGATGAATAGTACAAGGACTACCTTTCATCTTCAAGTGAAATTCTCCCAAATGAACCTCCAGTGCCCCTTCAATCAGACACATATCCTGGAAGAGAAAGACAGAACCATCACACTGACTGAAGAGTGGAGCAAATTCAGACAACTGCAGTCATTTGTCTCCAATCTTGAAGATAAAAAACACATCAGAGACAAGTTTAGAGCCGTTTACAAAAGCACCCACATTTTACACACTATTAACACTTTTTGCTTACGTGTAACCGGAGCAGGGTTTTTGCTTTGTTTTTTTAAACTGCTACTTTCAGGATGGGAAGTTATATCCCAGCTCTGCAGAGGAGCAAGAGTGTTTCAGTAATAGGCGTCTAATTGTCTTTCCCATTAGGTTACATCTATGCTTTGAGCTGGAGGGGTAAATTCGAGCTTGAGGAAACATTGGCACTAGTACTGATGGAATGGGTACCAAGACTCTAGCGACAGCAGCTGTACCAGTAGAAGAGTGAGCTAAATAACTGGAGAGCAATCTTGTCCAAAACCCTAGGCACATATTCAGACAGGTGGCCCTTCCCACTACTTGTACTGTTACAGCTTTGCTATTTTGAGCATGCTAGCACCATCAGCGCTAGCCTGAGGTATGTCTTCTCAAGCTGAAATTCATACCTCCAGCTTGTAGACCTACCCTTCCTTACTCACACAGTAGGTTAATAACTATGGGTCCCATTCTATTTCCTTCCAAAGTCAATGAAAAGACAGCCTCCCCCCACTAACACCCTATGAAAGCTAGATTAGACCCTAATGTCACAGATCAAAATCAAGGAACTTTCTATGCAACCAAATGCGTTCATGAAGAGTGCAATCAATCACACTGCATTACCCTGTGCATTTCACTGCATATTAAGAAGGGGGCATTAGACAGCAAAATACTTTTAGAAAGGAAGCTGTGAGTTGAAGATGCATAACATCAGCTTCATCTAAATTTTACATGTTACATTCTAAGTCCGGGCTACAGGAGAGCCAGCAGTTCAGAACAGCACATCTTGGTACAGTATCCACTGCTTTGACTTTAGGCAGAAGAGTCAATTCTTTGTCAGATGCTTGAAGAGTTATCCTACCTCTGTGCATTCTTGGAGGTTCTTATAAAGTTCTACCAGGCTCTCTCTGGAGGCTTTAGTGGAGGGTGTCAAGGAGAAGGCACGTTTCATATTAGAGGCCCCATCCCGCAGCCTGCACTGGATGCAGTAAGTTTCATACAGTTCTTCTATCTTCAACAGGAAGAAAAAAAAAAAAAAAGAGAGAGATTTTGTGTTTTACACCAATCTGGTGTCAGTTTCCAATTTTAATGAGTTGACAGAAGTAACATTAACAGGAGGAATTTTAGTTTCTTGAAGATTCTCCTTGTAAGAGAGCAAATCTCACCATTCTAGCAAAAACCAGGACCCCTTTCTTCCCCCCTCCCCCACCCCCACAACTTTCATACAAAACCTTTTCAACAAAATGGATCCATGATGAAGAGAAAAGCGGATGAACGATTAAACCTACCAGCTAAAGACTTTGGTATTTTGTACCATACAAGAAAAGCATGCTAATAAGAGGGTTCTACATAAACTTAAAACATGTCACGGTTAAAAGTCTGTTCCAGGTTTAAGGCGAAGAATCCAAAATTAACATTCACAAATGCTTAAGTAAAAGCTCATTTTCAGCCCAGGCCTACAAAACCTGCTAACCCACCCCAGATCCTGGAAGCCTTTAATTAGCTGCTCTGCACATAACTTATGAATGATCACCTGAAGTTTAGGGGTACTGTTTATCTGCTGTTTTGACTACACAACCTTCCCTACTTCACTTTGTTTTATCTACCACAGAAATTTAAGCAGAGCGCCAAATTTCTTCCAATAGTTCTTCTAAAGAGAGGGAACCAGTCTTTGGAAGCCACCATCACAGATACTAGACATAGCTTTAAAATTCTAGCCAGCTCTCCAACGTGCTTAGTGCAGTGATCTGAGCATCCTGAAATATTGAATGCACTTCTTACAGCATACCTATGAGGCAGGGCAGGGCTATTATCCCCATTTCACCAATGGCAAACTGGGGTACAGCAAGGTTAAGTGACTTGCTTAAGGTCACACAAGAATTTAGTGGTGGAACAGGGAGTTGAACCTCAATCTCTAGTGCTCTAACCACTGACCCATTTTTCCTAACACACACAGTCAACAGGAGCATGTTGAGGTGGCTAGAGATAGGGCTGCTCTCTTTGCTTAATCTCAAAACCTCTGTGGAGAGGCATTTGGCACAGACACTTCAGTACTAGCTCAGAGAAAGGCTTCTGCTTACTCAGGCTAACCAATCTCTTGCCTACATTCAAGTTATGGCTGAATGGAAGTCTGAGGCAGGCATGCTAGAGGCTGTGTAGAGTACATCATAGTTCTCAAGTGTGTTTAGCGAGGGCATGACTCTAAATCAGGTTCATTCAACTATTGCTAAGCCAGGAGGTGTGAAAAGGGAAAGGGAACATGGTTTAATTCTGGGGCAGGGGGGCAGTCACTAAATTCCCGTTGGAAACACATACATGGAAGGGTACCTGTGTAAGTGATATTTGAGCTCTTTGAATTGGACAAGAGATTGGCAGAGTCCATTAAGTGCTACCACCTATGCTTCCAGGAAGCAAAAACAAAAAACCCAAACACTCAGCCCTGCAACTCCTCCAAACAGCACCTTTCTATATCCTACCATCTTATTCAGAAGAAACTGGTTCTGCAGGCTAAGGCTGGGCTGTGCCCAACATTGAGTCTGAATAGAGCCATTCAAAAAAAAAAATCCCCTCCTCTAATGAAAGCAGTTACATCTTTTAGAAGTCCCAAGGCTACTTCCCCTCAAACAAGCGACCATCAAAATATTTTCAAATCAGAATGTTTAGACAGCAGTAAAAGCCTCTCATGCATGGAATATAAATAGATCTCCTCTTACCTTGCTTATATGAAATTCCAATTTTCTGATGTACCTTTCAACAGAGCGAATTTGCTTTAGAAAGGGAAAGAAGGATTAAAAGCGATTTAAACATTCCCATGATGCAGCATTAGTCAGTGAGAATATAGTATCAGGGCTCACACTTCACTGTTCATTGATTTCTGGGACATATCCTATCTCCACCCCTCCAAAAGAATGAGGGCTTACCTTATCCAGATCATAATAGAAAGCCTGAAAGACAAATATGACAAATTGCCTGTGAATTCATCTGCAAGAATTAAAGAGAGTCCAACATCTGCTGCCAGAACAGCTGCCTATGTGGCAGGGTGTCCTTGGGCAGTGAGTTACAAAGTTGTAAGTAGCAATGCATTGTGCAATACAGTGGGAAAACTGTAAGGCCAACCTTTTCAAAAGCACTCTTAGTTTCAGTGCCCTTATTTTTGGGTAACCAAACCAAGACATAATTTTCAGAAACAGTAAGGGTTTGAAAATGGGCTGGGGTGGATGGGGGGGGAGGGGTTGAATTCTTTATCCAACTTTGCATTCCAAAGGACAGTCCCAAGTCTGAGTCAGAAGTGTCCTGTACAGCTTAGCGCTACTAATAGCAAAGGTTTTGTTGCGAGTTTTGCATGTGGCAGAATCAGAGTGGCTAGGCCCTATTAATCAATGTTTCACCAGTTTTGCTTCATCTTTATTTCTCTTCAGTTTCTAGACACAGCCAGGCATGTATATTGCTTACCAGATAATAATCGGCCCCTACCATCCCCAAAGGGAGGCAATGCGATGCAGGGGGACACAGCAGGATATTGACATTAAAACACCTGGGTTCTTTCCCCACATCAAGCCTTAACTTACTTGGTGAATTGAGCAAATGGGTACAATACTAGCCTCTCAGTTTAATCACTGGGAGTCCCTTTGAGTCCCAGAGTCAAGAGACAGCGGGTTGTTTTTAAAACTCTACCCTCTTCAAACCATTTAAGTGATTAATACTGAGAAGCATCTTACCAGCCTGGAGTTCCTTTTTGTATCTTTGTGTCGAGCAGACAGATACTCCAGCTCCGTCTGATGCACTTGCAGGTATTCACTAGAAAGGAAAAACCCAAAGTGATATGGTCTTCTAGCATGTGTAGTAGGATAGTCCCAGGAACAGATTTAAGAGAGTAGGTGGGGGGAAGAGAGAATTCACTGAGCTTTCACTTTAAGAAGTAGATGGAGGTTTTGGGAAGAGCTGAGCTGGTGCAGCTAAAGAGACAGTCGGAAGTGAGAAGGAGAGCCATAGCAGCTGGAAAAGAAGATGGGCTTCACGTGGGTTAGAAGCTGGTCCCCTCATCCCTATCACCTGCCCTCCAAGAACTTCTTTTTCTGTTTCTCCCACACCAAGGGGGAGTGGTTTTAGATGAAGGCAGGGCTACTCAACTTTAGAAGCCCAGGGGGCCACAGTGATGCCCTGGGCATGTGCTATGAGTCACAACTTAAGTGTGGTGGCATATACATGCAAATAGCTTCTTTCACACCGATGGGCATCAATACAAAGATTAAGGCAAGACTACACAAACACACAGGCCCCATTTAAGTCAGTTCTGCTGATATTAATAAAATGCAATATTTACCCGATTTCCACCCATATGCCAGCACTTTTAATGAGCAATGATAGTCCAGGAATTTAACTACTAAAACGCATCTCAACAGAAGACCATTATACTTTTTTGTTTTGGCTCCCACCCACAGGCCGTGGATTGAGCCCTGTGTAAACCCAAACTGCACTGTGGACCACAAACAAATGGGCTGCAGGCCACATGTGGCCCACAGGCCATGTGTTGAGTAGTCCTGGATTAAGGGGGAAAAGAGACAGCTAAAGTACAAGTGAGCAAGCACAGCTTGCACCTCACTGCAACAGCCACCCTCTTGGGACAGCCTGGCCTGGGGCCATCAGAGGAGGAGCAGGGACCCAGGAGGTTCCTAATGCTAAGAAGCGCTATCCCTAGAAAACACAGTGGTACATCCCTTTACAGCCACACTGCATGTCTGTACACCCCCGCCCTTCCCCTCAGCAGCCTCCCTGCATTGACTCTCTTCCCCTCCAAACAACTTTTTACTTGCATGAGCCACAATCCCTTCACATGGGTTAGAAGCTGGTCCCCTCATCCCCATCACCCACAGTCCTCGCCCACAGACAGTTCGCCAACCTGAAGCATATTCTCACCAGCAACTATACACTGCACCATAGTAACTCTAACTCAGGAACCAATCCATGCAACAAACCTCAGTGCCAACTCTGCCCACATATCTGCACCAGCAACACAATCACAGGACCTAACCAGATCAGCCGCACCATCACTGGTTCATTCACCTGCACATCTACCAATGTAATATACACCATCATGTGCCAACAATGCCCCTCTGCTATATACATCGGCAAAACTGGACAGTCCCTACATAAAAGAATAAATGGACACAAATCAGATATTAGGAATGGCAATATACAAAAACTGGTAAGAGAACACTTCAGTCTCCCTGGACACACAGTAGCAGATCTAAAGGTAGCCATCCTGCAGCAAAAAAAAAAAAACTTCAAGACCAGATTTCAAAGCAAAACTGCAAGTTTGACACCATCAGCTCAGGATTAAACAAAGATTGTGAATGGCTCGCTAACTACAAAAGCAGCTTCTCCTTGGTATTCGCACCTCCAGATCAGCTGCTAGAAGTGGGCCCCATCCTCCCTGACTGAATTAACCTCATTATCTCTAGCCTGATTCTGGCCTGCATATTTATCCCTGCCTCTGGATAGTTCCACAACATGCATCTGACGAAGTGGGTCTTTACCCACAAAAGCTTATGCTCCGATACATCTGTTAGTCTATAAGGTGCCGCGGGATTCCTTGTTGCTTTTGCAGATCCAGACTAACGTGGCTGCCCCTCTGATACTTAATCCGTTCACAGGAGCTCACACCTGGTCCTGCCCCCACCCCTCACTCTCTCCCCCACCTCCTCTTTGCTTGGCCACCCCCCACGAGGAAGCAAGAACTGAGACAGGGAGCCATCTCCCAGCCCCTCTCTCTCTCCTCAGAGGATGGAAATGACTTTGGGCCACGCTGGCCTCCTACTCAGCATCCTAAAGGAGCACTGGGGTAGGGAAGGCGACATTCCAGAGCTCCATGGTCCTTGTACCCTTGTGGCTGCAGCAGAAGCTGCCATTTGGGGAGAGAGGAGCTGCAGAGCTAAGAACTGAGCAGCTCATTAGCCAGCTCTAGCTCCCAAAGCCAAAGGATTGAAACACTGAACACGTCAGCGTCTTCAAGTCTGATTTTTCAGAGGTGCTGAGAATCTGCTGCCCCAGCCAAAGTCAATAGGAGCAGTGGGTACTCAGCACCGCTGAGCAGCAGGCAGCTAATTGAATGCCTCCTTGGCTGTCCCAGAGCAGCCACGGGCTACTTCCTGATACTACCCTTGCTTTTCTCAGTTAAAAAGCAGGGTCCTTATCCTGCAAAGTGTTGAGCACTCAGCAGTTATTGGCTTCAATAGGCCCAAGGCAGCTCCCGGAAGATAGAACTTCTGCAACTACCCTGAATTGATCCTCTTCCAACTTCATTTTAATTCAGAACAGACTTGAGTGGATTACATAGCATTTTCCCCTTTTGTATTTAAAGAGCTGTAGACAATCACCTTCTGGAAAAGGCTGCTTTGCAAGACACAGAACCTGAACAGCTTGATGTGTTTATACTAAGCAGCCTGCACTTTTTCAAAATTACTTTTTGGGTGCATTTTATTTTCTAACTATTACGAACACATTTCCATTAATGCACAGAAAGTGACTCCAGCCTTCAATTTTCTGCTCTCCACACTTGCTGATAGGCCAAAGCAATTTTTTTTTAAATCATTCTAGGTTTTAGCAGCATTTAAGAGGCTCTGTTTATGGGGAGGCACACAGCAGGGTCATTAGACTTAAGGGCTAGTTGCTCTTAGTATCTTAAAACAAAACACATTCCAAAAAGAACAAATGGATTTAGTTTGAATCTGCTTAAAATTTGCCCTTTAAATTATTGGCTACAGCTGTTTTCTGTAGACAGCTTCAATTAGTTACTCACTTCTGCAAGGAGTTTGCAGGAGTCCGATGGCGCAATGTTCCTCACAGAATTGGTACCATAATTCTAATCCATCTGACAGTTTAGTCTCCCCAAACCCTAATAAAATATCAGAGTCAAATCTATCTTCTTCTAGGTTTAGAATTTTTCTTAATTCAATTTCATCAACTAGACATTGGCATAACTTTTTAAAGATTAAGACATTACAGTCCTTAAGGGAAACCAAGTGCATCTTGACTAAGCAAGACAAATGAATAAATCGAGATGTTTATGCATATGGCAAATAATTGCATGATCATCATTGCCCTTCATGCCCACTGGCATATAGGGCAGCAACAAAGGTCCTCCACTTCTGTCTGACTCTGGCCATTATTACTGCATGATAATCTCATGATATTCTTATCTTAAAATCCCATGGTAATAAAATCCTGGAGATGCCAATGTTGTATTGGAAGGAGCTGTGGACCAGCATAATTCCCACAGGTTAGCAGCACTAAGAGGAATTATAAAGCCATAGGAAAGTTATGATGGTTTCATTTACCTAGCCTTTGCTAAGTAGACAATGAAGCACCTGGAACTCCCTGCTAGACCCATAGATATCGCAGAGAGTTTAACTATTACCATTAATAGGAGCAGGATAAAATCCTTGGAGTGAGGGAGGATTCAGTCACAAATACATTTGCCACTAGGTAGTGTGCATGGTAACAGCCCGATTCTGGATTTGATGTAGACAATAGGGGCTCAGCCAGGGATTAGAAGAGGTGCAGTATTGGGCCATTAAGACAGAATATAAGGAACAAAGTTTTTAGCAGTAACAAAGACACTAAAGAAGACAAATTCCAACAAAGTTAATACTTGAAAAGTCCTTACTTAAGTCCTTTCTTCAAAGCTTCAAAAATTTTCTTCACCTGCTGTGGTTTTGGATCCCAGATGACAGCCCCTCTCTGCAGGGAGGGGTACATTTTGGAGGATTTTCCTGACATCTTTCTGTAGGGAAGGAGGGAAAAAAAATCCACAGCACCACTTCAGAGCTGAAAGGAAGTTTCACACATATAACTACTACAATGCTGGTTGCAGAGCTGTTCCTGACAACTTTTACTTCATGGAGCACTCACCTTGACAACAAAGGGAGTAAAGCGAGTAATAGAAGCAGGATCAAGACCTTTATTAGATCCATAACAGAATGTGGTTCAGTGTTTGTCTTTAACGCGTCAAAGTCAAGCTACTAGTTCATTGGGATGAGAGGCCCAAAAGAAGATCAGGTTAGAAGCATTAACTTTGAATTTCTTGGCTTCAAGGGAAACCTCTATGAATTAGGTGTGTCTCTTCTGTTCTTAATTATGTGAGAGCCCACACGCAATTTCCCATTATTTTGGTGAACCTTTTAATGAACTGATTCACAGACTGCCACTCAAGCAATAAGTATTTCATCCTTTGTGATCTGCTTACAAGATAGCTTATGTCCTGATCCTGAGAACACATTAATTCAAGTAGCACTGTTGAACCAAGGGCTACTCAAACAAGGTAGATTTGTAGAACTAAGAGCTGATTGTTATTAAACCTGTCTGAAAAATGGAGAAAGTGAGGCAGAGCATTGCTGGGTAGCTCAAGATCAGAAAAAGAAGCTAGTCAGGATCTGATCTCAGGCACTGCTGTGTTCTTCAATTTCACTAAAGGTCCACTCATCAATTAAAGGTATCCACTGAAACACTATGATTAAATGCTTTATGTACACACTTAAGTATCACATACATGATAATAGTCCAGAACTGATCTGTTAATGTACTTTTAAGTAGTTTAACAAATATACATTATTAAAAGAACTTCAGAAATAGCTACTGCTTGGCTGTTGTCATCACCCATTTAAATATTCACTCATTTTATTTCTGAAGCCTACCAGGCCCAATTTACAAACTAGTTTTTCCTTAATCAAGCTCTTTGTCTAACCCCAGCTAGCTTTCTAGGACAGACACATTACATCTTTTTTATAGCAACTAAAAATCAAATCCTACTTAGCTCAGAAATCCTGTCAACAGACATTACAAAATGGGCCTGTTGTGCAAATAGGAAGAACAATAATATTTCTAGTCTTTAGTCATATACCTATGATGAGTAAGGAAATGCTTTGAAGCCACTACTGATGCTTATCTCCTGTTGAAAGATTCCTCGTTGGTTTGCTTCCTTCTCTGTAGGCCCATAAACCCTAATTATTTGTAGCTGGTTTGATTAATTCCCCCCCTTCTATTTGCTTTTTACTTCCTTCTTTATTTGAGAAAATCAATCCAGGGAACGTCTCCACTCTTGACATCTATTGAGATTGTATCATTGGGTTCAGATGAGGTTCTTAAGTGCTGAGTAAATTCTGGATTGGACACATATGGAGAAATCACAAAATCTGAATTCTAGAGATGGCCCATGAATTACACAGTGGGCCATTGTTAAGTATGTGCATGAAAGGAGGGACTAGTGAGCAAAGCCCTGGCTACTTGGGAGTTGGATTTAGTTATGCCACAGACTTACATAGCTCCTTTAATGTCTCTGGTCCGGATCCTCAAAGGGAATCTGATGCCTAAACACAATTTGGAGGAGCTGTGCTTTCTGTGTCTCAATTTCCCCATTTTACAGCTGGGCATAACAATACTTATCTCCCTTGCTGAGTGTTGGAAGGCTACATTAATTAACATGTTTGAAACATTTTGAGAGCTTCAGATGGAAGTTGCCGTAGAAATGAATTGTATGGTCACTGTGTGCTCAGAAAGGAGCATGCCTGAGGAACTTGTTTGTTTGCCACCCCTTGGATAAAATCCATATAAAACCCCAGTGAGCTCCTACTATGTTATTTTAAAGCACTAGTGAAAGAGGTTATGAAAGGAAAGTCAACCAGCAAATATGTTCGCAATGCTGGGGAAAGACTTCCAGGTGAAACACCAGAGGTATCTTGTTCTTAAAACTTAGCATCATCTCAAAATACTTTCCTAAATGTCTGAATTCTCATCCTTGAGCAAAAATTTCCTCGTTCTAAACAGTTAAGAGGCAATGAAGATTTTGCAAATAGGAAAAAAAATGCATAAAGGCTGATTGTTTAGAAATGCTTTACAGCTGAAAGTAACAGAGTAATCTTAGGGGAAATCTAAACTTGCTTATTTGGAGCTTTCTTAGCCTGCTGGAGGTGATTTGGTTATAGAAACAGCTGTTCAACTCTTTTCCTGCTAGATTCCTTTCCTGTAAGAACTCCCACTATGTACGTCAAGCTCAAATCCATTGATATAATTTACTACCTGTGTTTTTTCTTGAGAGGTTAGTTGTCAGAGTGACTTTACACATCTGACTCGTGCTACGACTATTATTATTCAGGTTCCATAACAAATTTCATCAGTTCAGGTGCAAAGAATTCCAATTTAGATCACCAATTCTGTGTCAGGTTCTTAATTTCAACTCAAAATGTTGTAAATGCTGTAGTTGGTGACAAGGTTAATTAGTTTGTTGGGGCTTTGAAAATACAAAGTACTATATAAAAAGTGCCAAGTGCTTTGCTGAGATACAAGTGGATACTCTCAAGATTTGTTTTAAGAAGTGGAATACTTCTAGTGATGTATTTTTCAGCACTTCTGTATGATTCAAATCAGTTCACTTTGGTATTTTTCTGGCATTATTAGCCTAAAAACATTTCACAGATTACATACGAATCACTCAATTCACCACAGGAACACAAACCACTCTGGGGTGGAAGTGACAGCTGTTTAACACTGTTTAACAATGTTATACAATTTAGAACAAGCACTAAGGAAAATTACTGGCCCACACTGCTGATAGGGTCCTGCCACTGAAAGACCTGGCTTCTAGTCCTCATCAGGAGTGGCCTGAGGCTGGCTGTGGCAGCTGGTGCCCCAGGCGGAACTTGCGATCGGCGCCCCCGCCTGCAGGGCCGACAATGGACTGACGTGATCATTGGGCGCCCCGTGACGTCATCATCAGGCGCCCTAGGCAGCGGCTGAGTCCGCCTATAGTCACAGGCTGTCCCTGGTCCTCGGTGTGCCACTGAAGTGCTGTGTGACATTGGACAGTTCCCTTAATCCAAGGGTGGGGAACCTTTTTTGGGTCGGGAGCCTCTGACCCACAGAAAAATCAGTCAGGGGCTACACACAAGAGAGATGCAAACAAAAAAAACCCTCTCATTGACATAGCCCCTGACTGTCGCTTCCTGAAAGGAGAAAGACTCTCCTTGCATTCCCCTTGCATACCAGAGCAGAGGGAGGACCAAGCTAGTAGATTTTGTGTGTTCTAGTCCCACGGTGGTGTGGCGGGGGGCTGGAGCACCAGTGCAGGCTCCCCAGTGCTGGGGGAGAGCCCTGAGCCTTGGGAGCCAGACCCAGGCAAGGCCTCCCAGCCTGAGGTTCCCCACCCTGCTAATCTCTCTGTGCCTCTCCCTGTTGACTAAATCCTTTGTCTGTTTAGTCAATTTCAGCTGCAAGAGACCTTCCCTGTCCCTATTATATTGGCATCCTGATCTCATCTGAGGTTCTAGATGCCATTTGATATAAATAATAACTTCAGGAAGAATTTAGGTGGGCTGAATGTAATTACCTCTGTTAGATTTTAACCAGGAACTAAAACTAACAGCCCGGTTTTAGTGAAAAGTACCAGGCCATTTTTAATTATTGTAAAAAAAATTCCTGACTCCTTACGTCTCCTCTGAGAGATAGCACAGGCACAAGCATGTTAAGTCACTGCCATGCTGCTGGGAGAGGGTGGTGCTTCAGTACAGACACGAAACTTCACTGGAAGGGGTTCTTCCCTCTAACACTGATGCTTGCAGCACTGAGAGCTCTCTTTGGGATCCCATCCAAACATGCATCTCCTTGTGCCAGAAGTGAGCAGATCCCTTTGAATTCCCCTGCCCAGCCTTTAAATCAGTATCTAGTGGCAAGTTTGCAAAATAGATTTTGCAGGTATTTCTTGGCAAGTATAATTTAGCCCTCAACGCACCAGACCCATTTTAAGGGGACCCAGCTGTGCTCTTCCTGCCAGACTGGAAGGATGATCCGTTCAGTCTGACCTGCTTTTGACACTGCAGAAACGCAGCACAAAGATGGGATGACATGATAACAACCACTAGTACTTTAGACATATCTTCCATCCTAAAGCAGTTTGCAGACTATAACCAATAGACAATGATAAGCAGGGGTGGCTTAATCCACCACTGAAGTACAGCCCTCTCCAGAGCATAGTGCAGCAGCTGTGCATCGGACTATGTCTACACTACAGAGTTTTTCCGGGATAACTCTGCTGTGTCCAGGGAACATGTCTGCGGGTGCATTCTTTCGGAAGCCCTGCATTCCTCATTTTATGAGGAATAAGGGCTCTTCAGACAATGATAAGCAGGGGTGGCTTAATCCACCACTGAAGTACAGCCCTCTCCAGAGCATAGTGCAGCAGCTGTGCATCGGACTATGTCTACACTACAGAGTTTTTCCGGGATAACTCTGCTGTGTCCAGGGAACATGTCTGCGGGTGCATTCTTTCGGAAGCCCTGCATTCCTCATTTTATGAGGAATAAGGGCTCTTCCAAAAGAGTGTGAGTTTCCCACATTTGGCCCCATGTAGACAGGACAAATGTCGGAAAAGCCTCTTCGAAAAAAGAATCAGAAAAAGGTATGCAAATTGTGGTTCGCAGTTTGCGTACCTTTTTCCAAAAAAGAACTGCAGTGTAGACATAGGCTCAGTGCACAACAGTACTTGCCCATTTAGGACAAAAAAAGTAAGGCACCCCTTATGCAGGGAGGATTTAGGTTGGCAAGAAGTGCTGACTGTGTCCCATATCGGGCTGCTCAGGGTGCACGTGTTTATTTTCCCTTTTTATTCTACTTACGCTAACTTTCTGCTTTGAACCGTGCTGAATCCAGCAAAGGAGCAGCTCCTGCTGATTCCACCCCCATCACTGGGAGAGACAAATGTCAATTTCACCGACATGATTACCGGTCAGGAAGTCGGTCCTCTCCTGAAATAAACAGAAAAACAGATGAGTCAAAACTGGCTTGGCAGTTCAGGTTGAGCCAGGGCTGGCTGCGCTGCAGGGAGGAGAAACCACTGAGCAATATAGCAGGCATTCAAGTGGCGAGAAGAAAAGAGCTGTCTGCTGAACACATTGTCTCTCACACACAACAGAATTAATAAACAACAGTCATCTGAAACACGCTCACGCCCTCAGGTATTTGCTGATCTCTTTTGCAAACTTTTAGACCTCATCCTATAAAAGGCCAGGCACCCCCAACTGCTACAGAAGCCAGTGGAGCTAGAGGGCTTCCAGTACCTCATGTAGTACTTCCTACAATTTGCAACAACCCTACTGTTGAAAGAGGAGATTGATGCAAACCACGTACATCCAAGTCAGTCTTGAATACCAGAACAGTTCTCGGGCCCCAGTCCTGCAATTGGGGACATGGAAACAGAGTCTGCATCCATAGAGCCCCACAGAAGTCAATGAGGCATCACACGGATTACATGTGCACACACACTCCTCAGCCTGGATCTAATGGCAGGATTGGAGCCCTTGTTTGTGGTCCTTAAACCCATGAGAGAATCTCTTCCATCAGTAAAAGAGGCTCATTCTCTTCTTCTGGCAAGTTTAATTTCCCTAGGATCCCCTCACTTCTGTTTCCCATCAGTCATACTCTTCTGTTTCCTGGAGAATTGTGTTCTCCACTGTATGTGTCTAGAATTCATGCTGTAATACAAGTAACAGACACATTCACAAAACAGCTGTAGGAAATCATCCCAGGCAGTTAATATACAGAAGAATTCCCCTCCTGCCCCCCCACAGGCTGGTGTAATGTAAACACCATATCTAGCAGCTTTGCAATCTTTTTTTTTTTTAAAACGAGGCCAAGAAGAGGGCCAAACCTTGACATCTTCCCTCTATTCTTACTCTGTCTGTACTCAGGCAAATTTCACATTGAGGTTGTGGGGGTGATTTTTGCCTGAGTAAAGTGTGAGAGCCAGAGCATGGGCCAGAAAGATCCAGGGGAGAGGAGAACGCCACAAGGACGCCCTCATGGAATTGTGGCCAGATTATTCCATCAGTGGGGAGAGGTAAGTGCCTTGCACTGTGGAATGAGTTCCACAGCCTAGATCTCTGGAGTTTCATGTGCCTCTGGTCTGAATCTTGCCTCTGGTCTGAATCAGCAGATGTCTTCAATTAATAACACAGTAGTCTTAGCAACCAGAAAGCATGGTTCTGTTCTTGGTTCTACAGGTGACTTGCTGTGCAAATGCAGGCATGGTACTTAACTTTCTTCTGCCTCAGTTTCC